GAGACAATATCAGCACTTTTCATTTTGAATGCATCTTAAACTACATTTTGAATAGAATAAAATACATCAGTAGCCTAAGTTACTCAGTACAACAGTAAGTTGATGCAAACTCTGTTAATTCTTTCTATTCTTAATAGTTCATTAAAGAATCAGTTCAACTGATGTAATGAAAAGATGAAGTCTCCCACGTATTTATTATGTAAATAATTTTTAATTTCTTTTTTGGACTGGAGTTAAAAAATGTGTATATACTTGAAAGCATTCTATGAACACAAACATAGCAATAAACAACACACAGAATCAAATCTTTATGATTATTTTGCTTTTGTTTAGAAACATTCCCTTGTCAACAGCTACAACATGTTTTTCTTGATCAGCATTTATTCAACATTCCAAATTTTTGTATATAATTAGACTGTTTCTGAGGTAACACATGGAGAATAGATAATAAACTAATGCTCTTTAAAGCTGTGTGTAATTGACTTATTTAAGTTCTAGGAAATTCTCCATAACACTCTTTTTATTCTACTATAGTTTCTCTAGACCTTAGTGCTCTATCAGTACACATTAGTAAAGTCTTATTTGTATTTCTGGCTCTGGGCATCTCAGTGCTGCAGGGTCTGCTCTGAGTGACTTCATTGCAAGACTGAGCTACTCACAGTAAAATACTTCTGTGAATAACCCGGTCTTGCAATGAAAGCAGCTAGGTCAGTGACTGGTTTGTCTCCAGAGGAGATGAGTGGTCGTTATCTGATGCAAACTAAGTAGTTTCAATAGCAGAGAGGGATGACTAAATTGAGGAGCAGGGTTAAAATTAGAGTGTCTTGCGAGTGCTCTGATGAGATGCACAAGGGTTATGTGGTAAAGAAAGTGAAGAGCTAGGCACAAAATTTCACAGGAGGGATAAATGCAGGTTTACATCCAGTTTTCATAGAAACCACCTGGCAATGTAGTAACACAGACTATTTAGTCTGTTTTCCTTGTATATGTGGATCTGGCATATCAGTATCACTTACTACATGACTTCCTACTTCCTTTACACAGAAAACTGATTCTTGCTATAACAGCTTAACAGCCCTGATCACCCTGCAGTACTAGGCCCTCCCTTATTTAAGGTTTTCTGTACCTGCTCTCTATTTGGACTTCAGAATTTTCTCCCCCTTCATTTTTTCCTTGTGAGCTCTCATTTGGAAGACCTTTTCATTGTCTCTTCTGCTTTTTATGCATCAGACTTCAAATTTATTCTTTCCCATTTCACAGGTATTATTTGCTAGGTAAGTCTCATTCCTGAGCAGCTGAGCCTTTGCTCTCCTACTTTATTTCATAAGTGAAGGATTTCCTTTTTCAGCAAACACCTGAGAGTGCTGGGTCCGACTTGTGCTTTTCTGACTAGAGGCACTTTTTCAGAGTGAAAGTGTATTTTTGGTGTCTTATTTGTGTTGCCTTGGATTAAATTCGGTTTTGGAATGTGTACAAAAGATTCTGTTGCAGCATCTGTGAGACTACCTTGAAATTGGGGTTCCATTACACCAAATGTTACGGCATAAGATTGCCCCTGTCTAAAAGAGTAGTGGTTATATGAAAAACTGAAGTAGCCAAAGTAAGAGAAGTGAAAATTTGTGTTTAAGATCCTACACTGGTCAATTGAAGTCAGCAGAAAAAAACTCAGACCTAATGATTGTCAGTTCAGTGCCTTTGCTTAGGCAATATACTACCTATGGTCCTTCAGCATTGATGAATTCTTGGCTGAAGTGTATAAAAATCTGGCTAGAAACTGATTTGCTATACTGTCCGAATCCGTCTTGGCCAGTTTTATGTGATTCTGTGATTTCTCACAGTCTGTATATTTGGAGCCATATTTTGTCATGAAGGAGGACACTGTTTCAGTGAGATTTCCCTGTAGCACACATTAGAAAATAAAACAAAAAGATCAAATAACAGAAGAATAATCTTTCTCAAAGTCTTCCTTTATTTCATTTTTGCTACTCATTTGGGTATAGCTCATTTTAGGAAACTTTTTTCAAGTTACAGTCTCAAATAATTTCTGCTCTTCTGCCAGGAAGTTATCTTTCCTAGAGGCTCACCTGAATAAGTCAGTTTAAAGAGTTTTGGAGTGCCTTGGAGTAGATCACTTGTTTTGAATGCTGTTAACGTAGAAAATTAAAGCACTATGAGAGCACTCTATAGTTTTCATTTAAAAAGACAAATCTCCATCTGCCCTCTGAAAACAAATGTTGGAACATTTGTTCCAACCAGAACAAGTATACTTCCTGAAATAAAACTTGCCTCTTATTAAGGAAACTAGAAGTATTTTAGAAGATTGTTTTGGGTCAGAGGCTTCCTTATGAATGGCTGATCCTGCATCAAAAAACTCTTACTAGTTACAGGTTTTGATTCTTTGGAAAACTGTGAGTCTAAGAATATGTCCTGTAAGATGAAAAAACAAAGACAAATAATGATTGCAATAACTCATCTAATTTAGATAGCTCAATGTAAGTAACTTCTGTCTTTATTCCTTTATTGCTCTTTAGATTAAGTTTGGACCTAGAGTTCCTTGTTCCTTGAATACTTTTTCTGCAAGAATTGCTTTACTGGCAATAATGCTGAATAATGATGGCCCCAAGTGCCTCTGTGCCATGGGAGAATCTCAGATCATGCAAGTGCACTATTTCTGGGTTTTTCGGGGCAGTTTGGTATTTTTTCACTCTTCCCAAGAGGATAAATCTGTAAGTTTGTAAATTGCCTTCAGAACAGGACAAAAAAACCAACTCTTACTTTGAATGATTGGCTAATGCTAAATAAAGGTTGAGTTCTGCCTTACAACTTGGATTTGAAAGTAAAAATCCAAAAAGAAAACATTACCTCCAGCCATGGAAGGTAATTTTGGAAAAACTTAGTTTGTCTTTGCTTGCTCCACAGAATTGTATCTGAAGTGACATCTTGTATATTGTCACTCCATTTAAGAAGTTTTAGTAGCATGTTCACAATGTTGACGTTTGTCAGGAGTGAATGAACCTAATGTGCTCTTCCACTAAAGCAGCGATACATACTTGCCACAGCAGAGGTAATTTAGGTAGTTCTTGCTTAGCCCATATAACAGTGAAGATTCTTTAGGAATTATTTTATACTTCTGAGAACTGACAGTTCCTAAATGTTACTGATCTCTAGTGTACAGAAGTATTACTGCAGCCAGCTGGTAGAAGCATTATGTATCTATGCGGCAGTTGCTTCTAGGCCTGGGAACCCACTGGTTTTAATTCATGTTCTTATTCATCCTCAACAATTAAGCAATAGAGTGTGATTTGATTTTCTGTGACATGACTCCATCTGATTCTTCTAATAATTATGAAGACTAAAGAAAACTACTGATGACTGTCGGTAGGGACAGGAAGCTTTTATAATTATGAGCTAAGGAAAAAAGCCACTGAGAATTGATAAAAATAAATTTCATATCACATTTCATGTCATATCACTTCTCTCTGCAGTTTATTTTTGTTTAAGAAATTTCTACAGGTATCTGGGCTATTCATTCAGCAGCCAGGGCTTTCGGGTTACCAAGGGGAGGTACACACAACAGTTTCTATGCAAATATATGTTCCAATAGTGAAGTATTCTTAATTTCTAGACGACGCATTTTTGAAAGTGATGTCTATATTATATGATTACTTAACTATGTGAATCTTAAAAGTTATTACATCCCCACCACCACTTAGTGAGGTGGATCCCATCTGTCCAAGCAGACATTCATCCTCAAAGAGGGTGATAGAAGCTAAAACTGTGTTGCTGACCCGAGCTCTGCACCTAGTTGTTGATGCTCAGTACCAGTCCTCTTCCCCTCGTGAGCAGGACTGAGGAGAAGAGCACTATGGACCCCCCACCCCTGACTATCCCCTAGAGACAGGGGGTGAGAGATCCTCTCCTGGTTGCCCCTGAAGGTATTGCTGGTGCCCACATGGGACAATAGCGGGGGGTCATAGTCAGAGGGTCAGACAAGCTTTGGCAGTCTCTCCAACAACATCCTGGATCAGGGTCCCCAGCAAGCAGCAAACTTCTGTAGCCCTAGAGCCAGGTCAGCAGATGGGTGCCTCTGTGCCCCTGCATCACTCACGGCTTCTTCCAGGTGGTCTGGCTGGCTCAGGGTGAGTCTGTCCAGATGCTTTGCTTGAAAGCACCCTCAGCTCTTCCTCAGCTTTCAGGGCAGTGAGCCTCAGATGGAGCAGGAGCCTTACACGTGGTGCCAGAAGATACCAGCTTCCAGCCATTGCCTTCTACTGATACTCCACTTGCAGTTGTGATAGTAACAAACTCTGCCCAGGTCTGCACTGTAGTGGGCATCCAGAGCTTTTGAAGCTGTAGGGTCTCTGAGGAGATCCTGTCTCTGTGATGCTGAGCAGCCTGCTGACTTCCGTAACTTGTCTGCTTAGCAGCACAGCTCTCTAACAGCAGCACACCTCCTGCAGGAAAGGTCCCGTAGAGGCCCCCGGCACTCCCTCTGATCCACCAAGCTCTGACACGGGCCTCTCCCTAGCACCAGCTAAAAGGGTGGGAGCATCACTCTCCCAAAGGAGAGGCAACAAAGGCTCCAGGCACCCTGTGTCAAGGGCTGCTGACCATACACGCTTGCTGGAAGCTGCCAGAACTTCCCCAGGCCCACAGCCCTGTGGCTGCCATTGCCTCATACCTGGCAGCAGTAGGTACCCTCAAGTTTCTTGAAGGGTTCCCAGGAGTTCCCTTTTTCTACTGCTAAGAGTCTTGTTTGAAGTACAAGAACCCCGTCCTCGCAGCCCAGCCCCACTTTTCTGTCACACTCCCTGGTGTCCCAGTCTCCCGCTCTCTGCCTTGTGTTTGCTT